GTCTTACCTGCTCCCAGCACCCATCTGCTGCCAGTAATGCTCCAGGTTGCTTCCTTTCTAAGCCTCTCCCCTCCTACACTTCTCTTCCTAAAATGGCCTCACCCCATGGTAACCTGGCACGCTCCCCAGATGCGTGAATGAAGGTGCTAAGAGTGGAAGTCATTCTTGTCAGGTCATGTTGTTGACTTTCACATGTACTCCTTCCAGATCTGTTTGAAAGTCCTCTGCGACCATGTCACACTAAGCAGCCTGGCCCTGTCACATGAACTGCTCATCGGCAAGAGCGACATAAGGAGAAAAGAATCACCTGTCTGTTCTGCCTTTCTCCAAATACTTTTTAATAACAACTAGCAATGACCAAGAACAAAAAAGAAAATAACATGCAAACTTTGTCTCCCAAATGATGTATTTATGGTTTTTTTCTTTTTCTTTTAGAAAAGCAATAATTAGACATCCCTTGCCTTCTGATCTCATGTCCTAGCTGGAGTGTTTAAGAACTGTCTGTAGTTTATGGTTAAAACCATAACTGGGAATAATTAATTTGAGGGGCAAGTTTCACCTATAGAAGCATATCATGGTTCAGTGTGTCACCTGAATCGTCTTACAGCACATGACCATTTTTATTCCTGCAACAGCCAGTATTTCTTTACTCCCTCTTTGCTGCTTCCCAGGGAATAGAATCATGTGGTATGGCCAGTGCAGCAGTTATTTAGGCAAATGTATTCAACAGCCTTTCTGTTAAGCTCATTTATTTGCTAATTTATCATCCTTCCTACTGTGGCAGGTATTAATTTATCAGTGCTATTGTACAATTTCACTGGTACTTGTACTGGTATCTGGTACTTGTCAATGGGACAAAAGTACAGAAAATAAAAGGGATTTGGTTGAAATCTCGTCCTTTTAAAAACACAGGAAGATTCAGATACTATAGTCCCAGTTTTTCTGACAATTCTTGTTGCTTGCCAATTAATAAAACATCTTGTCTCTCCTTTGCTGCTGTGTGAAACGTCCATGTACAAAATGAGCGGAGACAAACTTACTTGACATAGTAGAAGCAGCTTAGCTGATAATATTGGTCACTCAGAATAAAACAAACTAAAGCACTTTAAAAAAAAAAATCTACTGCCTTTCAGTTCTACTTCTCTTTATCTTAAATAGAAGAGCTGGCAAACACCTTAGACTGATTGCACAGCTGTCTCCTAAAACAGAAGGTTATTTTCAGGTTTAAGACAGAACATTATGGCTCAAGTATGAACATGGGATATAAAACCGGAACAGGCTTCCCCTAAGTTGTTTACCAGCTGTTGCAAAACTCAGTGATTATAGTTAGAAATAGAATCCACACCTTGGCTCATGCCTTCACTTTTGACTCACAGTGGGAGTTCTGGTTTAATTCCTACTAAGTGTTTTAAAAGAGTTGGCTGATGTTTAACTCCAGATGAGTTTTGAAACAAGGGTTTTCAAAGGACTGTGGGGGAAAAAAGAAGAGCAAAAGTGGTAAATCAACTTCAGGCCTGTCAGACTGATCTCAGTCCTGAGCATAACAACTGAATGGCTGTTGCAAAACTCTATTAAAGTAAATAATATAAGCAACAACAATCAAAAAGGTTTTAAAAAAATCTCCGTGCTAACTTGATAAGAAAAAAAAAGAAAGATTATGATTGTAGTTGACTGAGATAAAGATGTTGGTTTAAAAGACTTCTGTAAGCTCCCTGGCTTTGTTCTGCGTGACATTTTGACTAATAAATTGGAACGCTACAAAATTACATTTGTTTACAAAATGGCTAACTGTCAGATCTGAAAATGTAATTGGAAGAGAGGACTCCTCGCAAGGCAGATGTTTCTAATGCAAGGATAATTTTTGATATTATATCACTAAATTATTTCTTTTAGTTATCTGAAAGAAAACAGAATGATTCTTCATAAAGCTTGAACAACTACAGTTGGGGAACTCGTGAATAATAAAGGAGTGGTTTACTGTAACATCTGCATCACTCAATGAGGTAGATGTAGGCAAGCAGTATACTTTTCAGCATGGATAAGTGAACATCTCCTTTCAGAAGATGGAGGCTCTTACTGAAAGGAAATGAGTCTAATCTGGGAATCAGTGTCATTGAAGAATATTCATACCTTCTAGACAAACAGCTGCCTGTAATTTCCCACAGCCAAAACTAGTGTAACATAATTGCCTATAAAGAGTGGAAGTGTAAGTAGAGTGAGCCTTTACTGCAGTTTCCTTCGACAGGTGGATGGCTGCTGCTGGAACTACATATCCTGCTCTAAAACTTTGCTATGCCAAAGCATTTATAAATTGGGAAGGATGCAGAGAAGATCCATCAGAATGAAGGAGTCTGGAAAACACTCTTCATGGTGAGAGATTTAAGGAGCTGAATGTATTTAGTTCCTCAAAAGGATGGTTAAGAAGTAACTTTATTCCAGTTTATG